GTGGATTAGTCTTTTTCTTTTGATGAAGATTTCCTTTTAGTTAATATGGGGTTTTGTCTACTAGGCATATAAAAAACTCTCAGAATGTCACGTGTGCTTTCATTTTTGTTTATAGTTCTGTTACATAGATCCTGTGAGAAGGTATACCATCTTATAATTTTATATTTGTAAATATATGTTATATAAGCATGTACAGATGTTTTCTTCATAAGGAAAGGGGGTGCTGGCTTTACACATTTATGTGAAAAACAAGGGAAAGTCTCTTGCTTTGTTTCAAGTTACTATTTTTTTAAAGTGTGGTGACTCTTTGGTTCTTTTGTTTAGAGCATGGTCTCTCCTTGATTCTGTTTGGTTTAACTCAAGAAGAGTTTTTGAACAGACTGATAATCTATGGCAGTGCTGGAATTGTAGATTCCCTTTGTCATCTCAATGGGTGGGGAAGATGTTCGATTCCCATCCATGCATTAGAGGTAAAAATAAATATTGTTCATTTATTGCAGATCAAGAAAATATTTCTGCAAAGTAACAAAAGGAACTTGCTGTAATATTTTATTAGAAATAATGTTGTTTCCAGCACCCCAAATGCTCCCTTAGCCTAGAGTTATGGGTCAGAGTATGCGTCAGTAACTTCAGGGTAGGACAAAATACAAGAAACCCCCCAAATAAGGAAATGATAGCAAAAAAGCAAAACTAAATATGATGTATTTTATAAGGAATGGTCCCCCCTCCCCCTTTAATCAAGAGCCTGGAACAGTACATGGAAAATTACATTATTTTGAAAGTCTCTGTGCTGTTTTTTCAGTAGCTTGTTTTCTAAGGTTTTACAGATGATATGTTATATAATATGATTAGAGCTAAGTTTTATCATCTCTGCCTTGCAAAGCCAGAACAAACTTTACAAGCCGATGCCCATCACTGACTTTGCTTATGCTACCACAATGATAAAAAATCAACATCTTTCTTACAGAAAATTAAAACCACTTGTGTCTATACAGTGGGCTCCAGTTGACATTTTTTGTAGAAAATAAAGAGCATTGTTTAAAAGTCTTGGCAGCCATAAAAGTGCAGGAACTTCAGATTGCCCCTGCTGGTTCCCTAGTCTAGAAGTGTTTCCTGGGTGTGGGATGGAAGTGGGCTAGCTGTCCTCCCCACCTCCCTGCTCTTGGCAGCAGTTCTGGTTTGAATATACAGTGTCTGCCTGAGAAGCTGGGTAAATACATCATGACTGTTATGAAGGTACAAACCTAAATCACTTTGTTTTTCTACCCTGAATATGTGCTATGAGTGTGTTTATGTATTGCTATCTATAATTAATTTATTAAAGCTAAATTGAAAGGGAAAGTGTATGCCTTTTTAGAATATATATGACTGGGGTTTTTTTTATGTTTCTTTAGGCTGGTTTGGAGAACCGTCAGCTGGACACAGTGGACTTCTTTTTAAAAAGTAAAGAGAATATTTTCAGTCTCTCTACAACCTGCTCTGTGGCTGAGCAGTCTACCAATACCACATCACAGTTTTACTTAAGAAGTAAGCATTATTATTTTAAATTTCACTAATGGTTAATTGTCTTGATTTTGTTTGTGGATATTTTTTTTTTTTCCTGTAAAACAGGTCAGTTTCCAGTGTATTTAACAACCGTGTGGTTCATGTTTGAATGATGATGCTCCTTAAGCTTTTACACAATAAATGAGTGAGAGAGAACTTACCCAAGACATTCAATTATTATTTTTTTGGCTGTATTCTAATACTATGCTTCTTTACACATTATTGATATGAAAGCAAAGTGGTATAATTGCATAAGTTTCTTTGACGTGAGTGACATCTTTTATGGCTTATCATTAGTATAATTTTTGTTGTGTAAAAATAATGTATTGTGCATGTGTTTTTAATCTTCTACATATTGCAGGTGTGGAAGAACTCAGGCCTGCCTTGGACTTACTTTGCTCATCCGTCAGAGAAAATGATATGGAAGCTCAGAGCAAACACTTCTCTGAGCAACTGCTGAATCTTACCTTGGCTTTCCTTAACAAGCAAATCCGAGAAATCTTTATCCACACAGAAGGTAAAATGATTAGCGTGTTTTACAGGCATTAATGCCATGCTTGGCCCTTTTTAGTAAGAACCTAAATAGTGCATCTTAATATTTAGGTATCCCAAACTCTTTACACAGACATTAGGTTTTTCCAAAACTGTGCTTCTGAAGTTTGCAGAAATTAATTTGGGCTGGAGATTTGACTGTTGAAAATATCATATTCACTTGGATAATGCCACACACAATTTACCTGGATACAATATACATGCTAAATAAGAGAATAACTGACCAAACTGTCTGGTCAAGGAGGTCACTGGCTTAGTCGTGCAGCCCACCAGAGGTTGTGGGACTTCCACGTGTTTAGGGATGCCAGCATCAGACTGTGAAGTACCAAAGATAGGAATACGAGTTGATCTGACTCTGAACACTGAAGATGACTGAATTCCAAAAAAAGCCTTTATTATTTCCCTTGCCACTTATCTTCCTCTCTGAAAGACTTCCCCATTTACCCACTTCTCAGGTTACACACCATATATCATGATCTGACTTGCCAAAGATAAGTTGTATAAGTAATTGTTGGCTGACTTAATTTAAGCTTAATATCACTAACTAGGGCCCTGATCTTGCAAGCATGTCAGTGAAGGCAGGTCTTTGTGGACTGTCAGTGATGTCAGAGGCCTAACCCATGCAGATGCAGTTGCTGGATTAAGGCCCATATTTGTTCCAGCATGCTTTTCATTTGTTGAGATCAAAAGATAACATGCTAAACATTGAGCAGTACATGTGAACTTTGTAGCGTTCATTTATTTTCATCAGAGATCCATTGCTTTTCTCTACAGAACTTGACAACTGCTTGCAGAAGTGCGTGGATATTTTAACCAGCTACATTATTGAACTGAGAACATTTATGATCAAGTTTCCTCGAAGGCAGACCAATAACATAAGTTGTGATCTTGGTGAAGATATGCCCCAAATAGAACAGAGTCCAGCATGGGAAAAACTGACTCCTGAGGTAAAAATAAATCAAGTTTAGAACATTCTTATTAAATGTATTCAAGGGGATGATCAACATTTCTCTCTAAAGTACTGAGAAAAGCTCAGGTCTTAAAGGGAACACAAGGCTCGTAAGTTGCATGGATTTGCAGTATCTTATTCTAAAAGAGATCTATATTTTTTTTTCCTTTTTAGCAAGTAATTGCTGAGGCCATTTTAAACAACTTGATACCAGAGGCTCAGACTTTTTTCCGAGTGCATCACCATCCTGCTCAGAGTCTTCAAGAGCTGATTCGAATAGGCTTGGATCTGGTTTATAGCTGTCTTCTGAAAGGCAATATTAAAGAGGCCTCAAAACTTTTAATGAATATGGTGAGTAAAGAAAGTGAATATTTTAGTGGTTTTTTTCTTTAATTTTGTTTGGGTTTGTATTTTGAAGCTACTACAAGAATTTCTAGAGAAGTGTAAGAAATAAGAGCTCTTGAGGGACAGATACTTTGTAAACTAGACAAGTGACCTGTGGAATTTAGAGATGAATTAATACTGTTGCTGGCTAACTCACAGTTGGGATATTTGTCCTAGCATGCTGAGAGCTAGTACACATTATGCTCGTTTCAAAATGATGTCAGAAAATGTTTGACAATCATTAGCTAGTTCTCACACAATTCCTTAAATTAAATTTTATTTTATATGGTGGGAGGGGACTAACATTTCTCCTTTTTTTTCCTACTAGAAGTTTTGCATGTTCTTCCCTTGGTGCTTTACTGCTCGTTTCTTCCTGATAGTGATGAATAAGGACAAAAGCTATAAAAGAATGAAAAACTGTAGCTGATAATAGTCTTTCTGCTAGCAATTTCTTTCATTTGTCTCAAGATGGTCTCAAGATAGAGCACTATTTTAATCAAATTCATTTTTTTGCTAAAGATGGAGACGCATAAATACATAAAAGTTAGCTAATGTTAGTTACTGTAACTGGTATTAGAACAACAACATACAGGAGTGTTTCTCTGTCTTTGAAGAACTAATGGGTAGAGTTTAGATATGAAGTGTCCAGCAAACAACGTTGTCGCACCACTGAATTCTACAGGTGGTGGGAACACTAACCCTTTAGTGAAAATTGTAAGAAATGAGTGCCTATGATACTTCCTTTTGGATTTGTACAGACCAGGGGATAGAATTACTGGATTTGCCTGTTCGTATCATTGGAAGAAAATACAAGTGTATATATAGAAGGTGCTGTACTTGTGCAGGAAAACAAGTGCTCTGTCTTGATTGGAACAATTGTATCCATGTGCAGGACTTATATTAACCTGTGATGGAAATCTATCTTTCTCTCTGATAGGGTTTTGACGTGAAGGAGCAGTTGCATAAGATATGTCTGCACACTATTGATAAAAATATACGGGCTTTGCTGGTAAGTGAAAGAATAGTTTTTTCACCCGTCCCCTAAATCATTAGCTTTTCAGAGACTCTGTGTAGAATAAATGCTGTTTCCTATCCCCAGGCTGGTCTGATACAAACACTTCTGTTTTTGCCCCATTTCCGTGGAACAGCCTTGGAAATTTGCCGTTGCTATATCTTTTCTGTCTCTCTTTTACATCTGCAGTTGAAGTGAAGTTTCTTTACCCTGGTATAGTTTTCTTCTTGAGTGCATGCTCACAAGTTGAAATCCTGGCCCAAGTGAAGTCAGTTTTGCAACTCTCGTTGATTTGATGGGTGCCATGCTTTTTCCTTACATTTATTTACACCCCTGCAAGTTTTTTTTCCATAAATTATTTCTATCTCAATAGAGCACAACTCCTTTTTATGTCAGCGCTAACTTGTAAAATAGAATTGCAGTCAAAGGTAACTTGTTAAATTTGCCTTCAAGGTGGGAGTACTGCAAGAAGAAAACTATTTTTCTGAAAAAGAAAAGAAAATGATAGATTTTGTTCATCAGGTTGAAAGCTTTTATTCAGGATCCTTCCAGGAAAATAGAGAGAGGCACTCTCTTTCCAGGTAACGCAGCTTCACTTCATTATTATTGCAAATCAACAGCATTGTTAAGCTTTTAATCATGCTAAGAACTATGAATCAGGCTTGTATTCGGCATGCTTTGCTATGCTGACAAATGTAGACTCGTGGGATTGTCCAAACGCAATATCATGTGGGCTCGTCAGTACTGTGGAAAGTACTACATGAGATTGAAAGCTGATTGCTGCTCTCAAGAATGCAACAATTGTGACTATAGTGTGAAATCTTTGCATACTACCCATGGCTAAATATTTTCAGCTTTATGGGGGCTTTTGCCAATGTCACCACAATAAAATAAATAAATGTAAATGTAAATAAAATAGTAGCAACCATGCATACTAGCTTAAATAACTAGGGAATTGTGCTAAAATATAAAAACATTAAAGCCTTACAGTGCATGCAATATGGTATTTCAGCTTATTTATGTTGGACACAATCAGTGGCAGTTAATCATCAGTTCTTTGGCTTGTAGTTACCTTACTTCTTCCCTGAAATAATGCACGTTAAGAGGCTTTTAAATATCTGATTCATTATAAAATATTCCTGTTATGGTTCATGTGTCTGTTGTATCAGTTGTTACTGTACTGAATACTTACTGCTATACCTAGTAGAGTTAACTAGCCTTTTTTCCCCTTTACGCTACTTTATTCAAGGTACTAGCAACATTTTGACTGAAGATATAAAAACTTATTTCTACGAACACTTTTCAAACACAAAGTTGATTAACTCTCTTGTTAATGTTACTGGTGTTATAAACTGTGGTTTAATATGAAAACATATTAATGAGTGAATATTGCTGTCAGTTTTAGGAACTGGAGAAAGGAAGAAGATCTCTCCAGTCACACAGCTGTTCTGAGCACATTTTTAAATTCTGACAAGCATCGGATTAACAACAAGGATCACAGGGTTATGTTAAACTGGGCTCAGTGGTGGGATCCACTCACTCAAGAGATGATACTTCTTCCTAAGAAATCACCGGAAGGCAAGTATTCCAACATGAATGAACTGCACATTGAAAACTGAAGTGACTTTGCAGCCATATGTGACATGGGTGTAGATGTAACACATAACGAGTGAGGTTTACTTACTTTTTGCTGTTGCAAGGTAAACACATGTTTATGAGTGTCAGGGCAAAAACTCCAATAAATTTTAGAGTTCATCCAACCATAAAAGTATGCTCAGGAGGATCAGAGGGGAAGGAACAAGTTAAAAGGGCTTCCCAAAATAGTTTGCTGTTTATAGCAAATGACATGTATTAGTGTTCTCTACAGCCTATTACATTGCAGTACTTTTACTAGTAAAGTTTTACATAGTTATGGCACTGCCTTTAATTCAAAGAAAGGTACCCTTTTACAAGGTATGCATATTAGCTACAAGTTTCAGTATTGCCTCAGCAAGTTGTCATTGTGTGTTTAAAATTCAGACTTCAAGTCCTGTAATCCTGAAGTTCTTTGGATGCACGTAACAGCCCAGCATGATTGGCTTAGCATTTGCTCATGGATTGAAGAGTCACTTCCACACAACAGGCAGACTTTATGTCAACAGGCTAACTGGCCTCCTCTGACACCAGATATCATTGACCAGAACACGCTATGCAGCAGCTACGTAAGGAATGAAATATTAGACAAGCTGGCGAGGTATGTGTCCTCATGGTGTTCACACTAGGTTTACATACTTGGAGAACCAGAATCTTGGGATATAGAAGCATAACTCTGAAGTTTAAGATATACAATACCATACAAAAAAAAGAAATATATTTATTTAGATAGTATGAATCAGCTGAAAAGTATGGGTTCAGTCCCATAGTCTCTGCACACCCAGACTTCTCACTGAATGCAATAGGAGTTTTGGGAGCACAAGAAATGTACAACCAGTGCACAGATCTTATGCATAAAATATGTTTCTGTTACCCATTTTATCTATGCTGAGGAAATCCAGAAATATGCAATATTTCATGTCCCTCCCACAACGCATAATAATAACTAAAACCCCTATGTGGTGCTGTGAAAGCATTGTAAACAAATGTATTTTGCATCTTACGGTTGCTTCTGCAATCCACTATACAATATAATTAGAATTCCTGTTGTGTTCAGCCTCCACATTTGTGAAAGCGACAAGTGCTTAATGAGATGTGTGTGTACGTAATGTTTCTTTTTCCTTGATAGAAATGGAATTTTTGTCCCATCTGAACAAGATGATTTTGAACTCCTCCTCCTAAGATTGACCCACACTGGAGGAATAATGCAAAATCCACACCCTGTTCCAAAATACAGTACTGCAAGTGGTTTGGACTTCCATACCTGTTTCATCCTTTACTGTTTAGAGCATAGTCTGCAATATCTACTGTACACTTATTTAGACTATTACAGGTACAAGTATTTGATATATTTGTCAGAAAAAAGTGTTTATATTCAGATAATTTTTAAAAATGAAAGCTAGTAAAATACAATTTAGATAGCAAGTGATGAAATTTTCAAGAATAACTGAGTTCTTGCTATCTGACAAAAAGAACTATTTAAAGCTTGTCAGAGCAGTAATGACTTCAAGAAAAATTTGGAAGGAGGTGTATTGTGCTTTGAACTGAAGCTTTGTCTCATGGCAGGTACTGTAATGCCTTGACACTAATTAGCGTGGCCCTTGAAAGCTCAACTCTGACACTTGGGTATCTCTTGCTGTCTGATATTGAAGCTTCCTTTGTGTTATGTTTGATATAGTGACTGTTTGCATGTTCCTTAATATTTAAGGAAGAGCATTATTACTGTGACCATTTGAAACACTGCAATGATTTAAGTAATAGAATCTTAATATGGAGCTAAATAGCAGCGCTATTTAGAACCTGCCCAGTTTGGGCCCAGATATGACTAAAATTTTGATACGTTGACTAGTAAATTTGCTGCAGAATTGCATGTCAAAGCTAGTTGTGTTTTGAGAAGAGAGAGGGCTATTTGCTTTAGGATTATTCTCCCAGCCATCACTTTTGATATAGGAAGCAAATAGTATCTTTACAACAGATGCTGTTCTGACAGAACAAATATTTTCTAGCAGTCCTTGGAGAGAATGGTTGATGAAACAAATGAGAAGAAGACATTGAGGGTGGAAAGCAAGTTAATGTGTTTAAAACTCTGGGATGAGGGCAAACTTGATCAAAAATAAGTTATTGAAAATCCTTTCAACAAAGGCTGTTCAATTTGAATGATACATTCAGACATATGAATGAAAGTTAGCCAGGTATTTACAATGGTAATGTAAACTGTAAGATTCAGGGACTGTTGTTTACCCAAAAATTTAAAATGTGTTAAATCTATACGGACTGGGACGGAGCTACAGTAGCATTGTAATTGTTTAACCAAAGGTGTAAGGGTGGGATAGAGAAAACTCTGCAAATCAATTCAATGAAACAAGGTTTTCATAAAAATTCAGGTTATATTAAAAGCATCATGTACAGAGCTCTACTTCTATGATTGGTGCTGGGTTGACAGCCCTAGAGACTGTTTGGTTTGTTATATTCACAATGCTACTATTTTTGTCTTATTTTCAGTTTAACTCCTTCGAATTGCCCTATTTTGGATAACAAGGAACTGCATGAAGCTCACCCCTGGTTTGAATTTCTGGTGCAGTGTCGAGGTGTTGCCAGTAACCCAAGAGGTAGGAGCCTGGCCTTGTTCAGTTAGCAAAACACTTGGGGGAGCTGCGATTAATTTTCTGCTCCTTGTGTGACCTTGAGCAAGTCCAGTAGCCTCTCTAGGTGAGTTCTTTATCAGTAAAATGAGGAATCAAATGTTTCACAAGGGGTGTCCAGGATAAAGATAATGAGGCATTGAAATGCTGCAGTGGTGAGGGTCATGTAAGTACCTGAGAGAGATTATGTACCATTGAAAATGCTGATGAATACATTAGTAGAAGTCTAAATAGCAGCAGAACAAAGATGTGTTTACTGTGTGTTAGCTTACCTGCATCTTTTACGTTATACATTCATTGCCCAGGAATATCAACATTAATCAATCAGTATCACTAAGAAAGTTCTTGATTTATTCAGGTATTTCTAAAAATCCCATCTGTCTTGTATAGCACCAAGCATTTTATCAGTGTTTAACAAATTGTGAATAAATGCAAATAAACCCTTTATTCAAGCTTTATATTTTCAAAAACATCTCTGCTCTAAAGTAAAAAAAAAACTGATTTATAACACACAGTAAAATACTAGACCTGATTTTCATAGTTTTCATAGATTTTCAGGGTTGGAAGGGACCCCAGCAGATCAAGTGCAACCCCCTATGTAAACTAAATTCCTGTTTGAGCACAATGAGAATTTTACATAAATTAAGAAGGTTCTATAATCCCGTCTGTTGACATGTGAATAAAACTAAGAAGAAAATTGCTTGACTTAAATAAACCTTAACCTTTTTTCTTAAGCATGAAATTATTTTAAACTTATAATTTAATAATGTCATTAAATCATTGCTTTTGATGGACAAAAACCTCACTTCTTTTTTCTAGATCCAAAGATGATTTTTCAGGCTAGTCTTGCAAATGCTCAGATCTTGATTCCTAGTAATCAAGCCAGCGTCAGCAGCATGCTGCTAGAAGGTCGTACACTTTTAGCTCTTGCAACTACAATGTATGCACCTGGAGGTATTGATCAGGTAATGTCTATAATGACTAACTAACCTTATGCTAATTGTCTCTGGAAATTTACTGCTATGATTGCAAAAATGAAAGGGATGTTGGCTTAACATGATTCAGATTAACAGGGAAATGCCACTGCATTGTTTCTTGGTACATAGCTTGAAAATATACCTTTAGTATAATATCCTTCATTAACTAGCATACCTGAGGAGGGCACAACCGGGGCAGCAGCCCCAGACACTGCATTTGTGGAGAAGGGAGGCAAAAACAAGCAGTGCTGTGACGGCAGCTGATCACACTGGCACCACACAGCTGCCCCAGGAGCAAAGATGCACTAAATAATGACAACTAGACTAAATATTAGAGTATATTTAAAAATAATGGTTTATAATATCTGTTTTTAAAATGTTATGGTTTAGAAGTAAGTAGCAAAGTACAGTAGCCATGGGAATTGGCTCTCAAATCTTATTTTAAATTGTGTCTTTGTGCAAGTAATTTTATTTGTGAAATACTCCGTTTCTTTTCTTTTTTCAATATAGGTTCTTCAGAATGAAGATGCTGAAAAGCCTCTGAAGAAGGTGGATCCACAGCTCTTAAAAATGGCACTGGCTCCTTACCCCAAACTTAGGGCTGCTCTCTTTCCCCAGTACACTTCTCATGGAATTCTTCCATCAGATATCTCACTCTATCATCTTGTTCAGGTACATGTAATTCATTGCAAACAAAGCTGCATGATACAATAGAAATCAGAATGTGAGTGAAGTTCTATTTTGATCTGTGGACCGTTTGAATGTGTTTTTTCTGACTTAGTTTAAGACTAATTAAACTTTAATTTTCTATCTGTTTTGTATTTTGTAGCTTATTTTTTAAATGTTTCATGGAGAAGATGAAACAGGTTCATTTTTGGGGGGTGGAAAAACTCCGCTACCCTTCAGCATCTTCTAGGCTGGCCTGATGACGCAACAAAATACACAATAGTGTTCTGTCATATATTACTTTGTGGGAGCCTGGGTTTCAGACTGACAAGGCTTTAAGGCAATACAAGTTTTCTTCCTAAAAAAAGAAATGGCGTATAAGGTTAGACTCCTGAAGTCTTTGTTTAAGCACTTAACTAGGTTACCTTTGTTGCATATCCATGGCTTACACTGGATGGTGAAATGGCCCATTGATAGTTTGAACCACTGTGTTCTAGAAAATCATTAGTCCTAGTAAGGCTGCAGTTTAGCATAGTACTTGTGTACTCGCCTTTCCATTTATTTCAGAGAGACTTAATTTTATGCTTAAAAGTACAATCACGCTGGTCCTGCGTGCATTAAGAATAGGTACTTTCTAAAAACAACTGTCAGGGGTATTGACACTATAGCCTCTGCAGCAGCTTTACTATCACCTGTTGTAACTCCTTAAAAAGTTCTTAATTTTAAAAAAAAAACAACAGCAAACACTTTAAGCTGTTTCTGAGTGTCATTTGTATCTACTCTTTCAGTCATTAGCACCATTTGATCCCACCAAACTCTTTGGCTGGCAATCAACAAATACTCTTGCCATTGCAGGTATGTAATGTTACAGTTGAAAATGTTTTTTCTAGGCTGCTTTGAATGAGGTAGTTTGTAGTGGGAATGCCCAATAGATCACTGTGTCCAATAAGCATTTCTTTTTGGAATGTTTCTTATGTTTAAAGGTTGTGTTTTAAAGGAACATCGTGGTGGTCTAGCTATAACAGCACCTTTTTTTAAAGAGAAAGTTGGGAACACATGAATATAACTGAAGTGCTTTTCTCTTCTAAAAACATCTTTATAAGTAATCCTCTTTGAAATGTACTGATAACTGAGCAATATATTCTGAATTCTAACAGAAGGAAGATAAGAGACAATGAGGTTGGGTGACCTACTAAAATAGTGTCTCTAGTTGTACTGAAAGTCCAGAACTGGAATTCCAGTCATACTGGGAACCTCTGTAGTTTAAAGCAGAGCTAACTTGATGCTCAATTTCCTCTTCAGTAGAAGTCACTGAGTAGCAGAAAGACACCTTCCTTTTTTTAAACTAAGTTTATATGCAGTTGTAATGCTTTGTTTCTAGACACCTCAAGTGACTTTCCTCATTTCTCATCTCCTGAACTGGTAAACAAGCATGCTGTAATGGAACGACTAGACTTTTCCTACTACTTGCACCATGGACGGCCATCGTTTGCTTTTGGCACTTTTTTAGTACAGCAGCTAGCAAAGAGCAAATCCCCAAAGCAGTTGTAAGTATTGAAATATAGGTGGTAATGTGGCGTATCCCCATACCGGAACACAGTTTAAGATGAGACACTGGACTGTCATTCTGTAAATAGTTCCAGCTTTCAAAATTTAAATTCTCATTTATTGTATTGTATTTAAAAACAAATGTGTGTTCATCGAAAAAATAAAAAGGAAGGTAAAGAATAGTGAAAATGAAAAATATAGATAAAATAGTTGGCTGGTCGAGTTAAGGCCAATGAAGCTCATTTTTTAAATAGCTGTATGTACACAAGACTAGAATGTAGAATGGGTGTCTTTGTTTTGGTAGATAGTTGGGTATGTGGTTGATAACATTAAGGTTTGCTGTTTAAGTAGTATGTTAGGTCTGGGTTTGTAAACCAAGGGTACGCAGTATCCTCATGCATCTGCCAAAGCCAATTTGAGGGGGAGTGCTCTGAGGATTTACAATTGCAGGACTAGGCTCTAACTTGAAAACCAGCTATAGGTAAAAAGGAGAGAGCTGTTTTCCCCTTTTTTCTTTCCCTGTGAACTGTAATTTCCCTGTTTTAACTACAGAAAAGAGAGGATATAATTAAGTCTGCCATCTGCAAAAAGAGTTAACAGTAATTGCAGTTATTAAACCTGCCTCTGCTTTCTTTAAAAAAAAAACCCTCTTCCTGCTTTTAATGTGTTTTCTTTGCCCTGTTACTCTGTGAAGGATTCACGTGAGCAAATGGGAAAACTTTCCATTAAGGGAGATGATGGAAAATGACTATCAGGAGACAGCTTCCAAGTACATGAGCTGGAGAAACAAATTGCTTTTTATTTCCTGATCATTTTGGTTTAGTTGTCTCATTTCTAAGGAAAAAAATAGGTTTCATATCAACTAGAAGCACGTTGACTGTATCCCTTTAAATTTGAATTGTGCTTCGATGATATATAGGTGCTAATTTCTTCAGGCACCTTATATGATCCAAGGTTCTAGCTGCTTTTTTTCCCTAGTATTTTACCTGGAAAAGTTACGTTAGCAGGTGAACTTTAAAGGAAAAAGAGCATCTTTTTCCTACATAGAAAATGTAACAATATACAGGGGTTTAGGACATTTCCCAGAAAAAAATCCTACCTGAGTGTAGTAGGAATGTAAGGCTTTTCATTCTCAGCCTTCACTGTGGACTTCTTATTTATGTAAATCGAGGTGAAGTTCCCACTGTGACAGGTTTTAATTTCCACTGGGCTGTGAAACTATGAGATTAGAAGGAGTTCCAGGAAAGTGATACTTAAATCTTACAAGTTTCTAGGTTCTTTGTATTTTGCACAAGATTTTCTGTTCACTGTTGGCAAGTAGTGCAGTCCCTCCATTTGGTAGAGTACAGTGTCAAAGCAAGTATGATATTAGCATTTACCTGGGCCCAGGCCAAAGAGGGTTTTAATGCAGAATGCTAATAGAAGGAGATTTGCTTATAGACTATTTTCTTATAGTCTCCAAATATCCTAAGTACTCATGACCACTGCAATTAAAACATAGATGCATTGTGAGTAGAGAGAGATGATACAATTGTACCAGTTTAGAGGAGGAGGGGGAAGAAGGATTAACTGTGCTTCAGACTGATGTGTTGTAACTGCTCCATACATCTGTTCTGTCCTACAGATGGAAGCTAAACTGTGGTAATTTACCTCTGAATGAAACCAGAGGTACATTTATTGTAGTTTAGTTTCTGCGTAGAGGATAGAGTGGACACATGAAAGAGTTGTAGAGGGTCAGCTTGATGTATGGTGACATGCAATTAAGTCACCCTCCCTTTTGAATTGGTGTAATTGTTGGTACCCTGTATGTAACAACTTTTGTGTCTCAGTGTTTGAAATAAGCTGTAGTTCAAACTTCCAGCACGTTGGAAGACCTTTCTCGATAATTACTTCTGTGTACAAGCACAGTGAGAATGTCCTCTATCTTCAAGCCTACGGAGGTCTTTCTCGTGTGCCGAAGGAGAGAGCCAGGCTGCTGTTCTGCCTCCTGCCCTCAGAGGTGTTCTCCCAGCCCAGTTCCTTGTCAGCATGGATCCATCTGAACTGCACAGACAGAGCTGCTCTTCCAGCAGTAGCTCCTAGAACCCTCCCTCCAACATGGAGGGGCCCGGTGGGCCTTAGATTATGAAGCAGGGCAGCCTCAGTGTGGACAACATAGCTAACATTTAAAGGAACACAGTCAACTGAAGTCGTGCCAGGAACAAATTTCTTTAACTAAGCAAGTGAGAGTTCTTCCATGTTAATAATCTAAAACTCATATTTGCCAGTTGCTATTTATGCCTTTTTTTGTGTCTCTTGCATTTTTATCCATCTTGGACACTGTAAACCTGTGGCCTTGGTTGCAGGTTCTTCATAGTGCAGGGTTTTGATTGTAAACTTTGCAAGATAAAATTTTTAATGTGTTTACATTAGACCTTATTTAACAAAAACTATGAAATGCTCATTAGTTATATAAAAGTTTATTTAAATAAATTGCAAATTTCAAGTCAAATTTAATATTTTGATGTAGGACATTTTATTTTCCTACCTGGGTTCAGTTTTGTCCTAAAATGGTGACTCCTAACTGGTAACTGTTTTCTAACACTACCAAAATCAGAAGTTCCACTGGTGATAATTTTACAGAATGATAAGTGCTAACATGCATCGTGAATTTTTGTGCCTGAAATTTCAGTTAAAAACTGCATTGCAATGACTCTGACTTTTCCTTTGTTTCAGGATTCAGCAAGCAGGAAGTGAAGCCTATGCTTTAGCCCTTTCCTTCTTTTACGTACCATCCATAGGGGCAGCCTGTGTCTGCTTTCTAGAATTACTTGGGCTTCATAGCCTAAAACTCCGAGTTGATATTAAAGTTGCAAACCTAATTTTGAGCTTCAAGAGTAAAAACGAAGAGTCTCAGCACAGCGCAATAAGAGAATCCTTAGGTAAAGTTTCTTTGTCCATCTTTTAAAACTGAGTGGTATAAATAGGTATTAGGGAGTGGCAGAGGGAATTGTACCCAGTCTGAATAATCTCTAAAATGAGTAGGGCTAGCATATTTCCTTTGAAAAGTTTATAGCTTTGCCATTCTTAGGTGCCCTGTTCTCACTACTCTGCGAGGCAGTTCTGACTCGGGAATATGGGTGGCTGTGTGTCAGAAGAGCAGCCAGAACTAGAATAGCCTCCTTGTACAAAGTGAAGTAACCTTTCAAAGTGATTGCCTTGTTTGCTTAATATTGTGATGTAATAAAAGGACTAGATAGAAGAAAGTTGACAGATTTCTTTTTCTTTTGTACTTTAGTTTTGTCTGAAAACTACAGAAAAAATTGTGCATCTAAACTTCATAGTAACTTTTTTTTCTAGGAATACCTTTAGAAAACAGCCTTTTTAACTCTAGCTCCAGTCTGTTTCCGCTTCTATTCAGGGAAGGTATTGAGTTTTTTCTTTTGCTCTCTTTCTGAAAAAGCTTGTTCAAACATATTTACTTGAGAATTGCAACAGATTTTTTAGAAATGCCAAGGCTTGTATTAAAAAAAAATGACGATAGGACTTAAGAGTCTGAGTGCTTAGCATCACTTTTGAAAGTGGAGCTCTTTTTTCTGTAAATGAATTAGGATCCTTTTTCAAAAATGTTTTAGTCTAAAACCAAACTAGAGCTCCAGTGGTAACATTTTATTTTTATGAATAGTTGAAAAGTTGACAAAATTGGCTGATGGTGAAAGAACAGCAGCAGAAGAAATGCTGATTTGTTTGGAAGAAGCTTTTTGGGATACAATTGAACATCAAGGAATAAAGAAGTGAGTGAACTATGCTTTTGATGTCCTTTATATTGGCAAACTGAGGTAAAGCACCAAATGTTAGCCTTTCTGGACACATCCAGATGTGCGTGGATGCTTGGTTCCCCAGGGAATGCCTGTGCCATGTGCAGTCTGGCATGCGGCAAGTTACCCTGGGTGAGATAGGGGAGGCTGGGGCCGGCACTGGCCTGGCCCCAGCAGCCTTACATTGGGGGCCTCCCAGGGCTGCAGCAGCAGCAGTCCTGCCACGCAGATCCTGGCCAGCAGCAGAGTGCAGCTCTGACTAGCCAGACTCCGGCTTTGGGTGGCGCACGCTGCCACTGTGTGCACCGCTCTGCTTTTTTTTCCCCATGGGTTGGGTTTTTTTGACCTCTGGATATCTCCCTGCTTCCTTGAAGGGCAGAGAACAACTGAATGTGCTGTATGTGGTGCTGCAGGTATGTCTGCGGTGCCACTTATCACACGACCGCGTTTGTCTGGTTGCAGCCTCTGCGGTCAGGCATGTGCTGTGTGCAAGTGCACTAAACAAAATTTATAAGCAACAGTTGCTGTGTAAGAATATAGTCCCAGATGCCATCAGCAGTGATAGGGAAGTGAAGCTAATACCCAGTGTTTTAGTATGCTGCCTCTACAGTTCTTGACCTGAATTAAAAGCAAAGCTCATTGCCAAAGCCAGAACTATGGTGGACATTTTGAATGTACAAAAAAGATGGGCTAGACTCCCAGGATGCAATCTAATTCAGTACCTGCTGAATTCAAACAAAGGACTCCCATCAGTTGCACCACACAGTGGAGTGCAGGTTTTTGGATCAGTTTTTAAATCAAATGTTAACATCTGGATTTATCAAGTTATTACAACTGGGAGACCTACAGGAGTTGTCTAGTCATATGTCAGATTGAATGTGCATTTTATTTCTCCTTCATTTTTCTTACCATTAATTACTTGAAGATGAAAGGACAGTTGCATTTGAATTGAGTAAAACTGATTGAGTTAAAACTACCTTTCAATGTCACACAGGACATCCAGTGACTCTAGAAGGCAGTGGTCTCTGGTGATGCAGTTCTGTAAGCTCCATAATATCAGACTGAGCACATCTTATCTAAAGGAATGTGCTAAATCCAATGACTGGCTGCAGTTCATTATCCAAGCCCAGATGTACAGTTACCGGCCAGATGAGGTGAGTTCCTAGGAGTGATTTAAAATAAGAAGAGGTGCTATAGGCATTATCAGCAGTTGTAGGGGGTATTTTTGAAGACGATTTTCTTTAATATTAGTTTCCCTTTAAAGAGACAGCTTCAAGTTGAAATGTCCTACATCTAATCGGTTTCAGACAACGAGTTAGAAATTTTCAGGCTTTTCAAATGCCTGGGTGTATTCTTAACCCTTCTTGTTTTACTGCCAAATTTTCATATTTATTTTTCTTTAAGATTCTTCTCCCCTTCCTATTGTGTGAAGAATTGATACAAACCTTGTTCTGTTAATAAAAGAAGCAAAGGCTGTACCCAAAATGCTGTCAGTTGCACATGAACAAACTGGTCAAATGGAAGGTTTTTCTTTTAATGCTTTAATTCCCTTATTGATACTAATTTGGTGTTGATTCCAGCAATAGGTAAAATATTTTCAGGCAGATGTGATTTCCACCCCCCTGCCCCGCCCTCCTTCTGAATGGCCTTTAAAGTGAAATCCTGTCTAAAGGCGGGTTTACTTCCATGTTAATTATAGATCTCACTAGCTTATTCATTATGGATTTTTGGCTTTAGTCCTTTTACAATCCAGTTAGAAACCATGGGTTCATTTCAAATTTAGAACTATTTAATATAAAATCAAACTTAAAAATATAGAGAATTGGCTCCATGGATATATCCCTTGTAACTACAGCAAACTGTATTTGCAGTTTGTCTACTATGTGAGTAAAGATGTTTACTGTAGACATTTTATATTTTGTTATGTTACATACTTTGTACAGTGTTGCAGTGACAGTCTTTGGCAGCCCACCTGTACAATTTTAGGTAATTCCCATTGAGATCAATGCCATTTGAGCATATACATTTGGCATTTTGGCCCCAAAAAGTTTCTTTCTACAATTACTATAATATTGCATTTCCATTCAGTTTTAGGCTAGAATTTTCAAAATGTCGTAAGAGAGTGCTGGTCCCAAATCCAACTAAAATTAAGTTCAAAGGGTGTGGGGACTTGAGCTACTTTGAAAAGCCCACTTGTAATATTTTCAAAATAAAAAAATGGTAATTAAATGTGAAATTGCCTGAAAACAAGGCACAGGGCCAATTTGCTGAAAAATTCCTTTTCACAAGGTACCACTAATGCCAAGGATGTTGCAAAGGCTGAAAATGCCTGCGTGTTTTTTGAGTTTTGTTTTTACATAAGAAAGGAATTTTGATGTTTGACTTTGCTTTGATAGAATGCATTTTCATTTGTAACTCTTCAGAAGTGTACTGTTTAAAATCACTTTGCTGACATGCCTTCATTTTGTTTGCTGGGTTTTACTGCAAGTATGCAATACTCTCCCAGTCTCTTTGAATGCTTTCTATTTATAGATGCCTTTTGATTATTTTTCTAGGTCACTTGTATCCTTCAAGATTTCACTCCCATTTTACAAGATCACTTGATGCTGGCCTTTGAGAGCTTAGAGCTCTCTCACCCTAGCCTAGGAAGTCATCACAGTGACAGTACCAGACCAGTCCCAACCGAACAGAGGCAGAGGGGGCATCCAGGTGATCTCTTCCAGATTCTCTTTTGGTGCCAAGAGAAGCCTAACCCCTCACGCTACCTTTTGATGGAAGGAATGAAGCACCATGCCCCATTCCTGAGTGTGTTAGCAGCGTGTTTTCAGGTAAAGATTATTCCAAAGTATTTTAATTTTGATGTTTGTTGCAAAATAAGGAAAATTCTCCTTGTTCTGGGGATGAGGTAGATAATTATCTCACATGCGTACTTCAAAGACAACTGTATAGAGAGGGGCATTCCGTAAGTATTCCTCAGCTGTCAAAATAATCGGATTCGTAAGACACTCCGTGATGTTTTATGGGTAGCTTGACAGCTGTCCTTGTAGTTATTAACTGATTAAGCAGGATCTACTACCTCCTTGGTTTTTAAAAATCAACCACTTCTGTCCATTTGATAGGATGCCGGTATTATTCAGTGTCTCTGTGTTTGGATCATTACCTCTGTGGATAATGCGACTGCTGCTGAAGCAACAAGCCACGTTCAAGGCTCTGTGGAAAATCATGAATGGGATCTTCAGGACCTTTCCAGTCTCTGGAAGATGTTTTTAAGAAAGCGGAAAAGTAAAACTCTTCTGAGTGGTTTCTCTCTCTTTCTAAAGGTAGCTAACAAGCGTTTTAAGCCTAAATTTTGTATGTACTTCACCTCTCCAAATAGACCGTCCTCTGGTTCCCAGAAGGTTTTCTACGCCATCTTTCAGATTATTTGGAAAATAACGATTACTTGATCCTCTGAGGTACCTGACCCTATCAAAAATGTTAAAATAGATGTTCTTTGAACAGCTACAAACTTGCAAATACTTTTTCAGGTCTATATACAACTTTATAAGCGAGCGCAAATCGTAATTATTGTTCTGTCACATTGTTTAAAAAAATCCCCTCTTCATTAATTAAAGGACTGCACTTTCAGTGATATTTATAACCTTTATGTCTGTCTCAAAGGATTCCCCACTATTGCAAATGCTTGAAATCTATGAATTATGTATGGACTGTAAAAAGTACAGTGAAGCTAAAACCAAACTCTGCAACCTCCAGATGAGTCTTGAAAAAGTAAGCAGCATTCATTTTACTTTATAAAAATGCCTTTGCCTAAGTGTCATATTGCATCTGGATGTCTTTCTAATGTTAAAGTTAAAATAAAGATAAAGAAACCAATCAAAATAATTTAGGAGAGGATTTTGGAGTAAAGCAGCATTTCTCAACCCATGGATCGCGATCCAAAAGTGGGTCACAAGAATATATGAAAGGGTCGTGAACAAACTTTTAAAAATGGATCAACAAACTTTAAAAATAGATGGTCTTTTAAAGGAGAAAATGTGGCAAACCATGGTGTTTCCCTTGTGGGCTGGCAGAGTTCCAGCCTGCAAGGAGCTGCTTATGGCCCCTGCATGTCCCCCATGCCCCCTCCCCACCCCCCCGTACCCCCGGCCCAGTTCCACACACTGGGTGGGTTGGGGCCTGGAGATTGGGGGGGGCGGCGCACTGGGTTGGGCCTGGCCATCAATGTTTACAAATGGGTCCTGGTACAAAAAGGGGTTGAGAACCATTGGAGTAAAGGTTTCAAACAGCTTCTTCATCACTGATACTTGGTGGAAAAACTGGGTTTGGGGTTTTTTGATTGTTTTTTTTTAAGGGGCGGGGTTGGGGTTGGGGGTTGGAGTAAAAGGGACTGTTGCTTTAATAAATTGCATGCATTTCTCTAAATCTTTATTTGTGACACGGGGCCAGAAACTGATACCCTCACTTACAAAAGAGGAACACCTTACCCCATGACCAGTTCTGTTACGTGAGTGAGACTGCTAGTAGTGTACAAAACTGTTCATGGGAGGAAAAGAATTGCAGTTCCTGGTCACTCGTAAGTAGTGTTAATTATCACAGTACAGTGAATATGGGGGTACTGATAAAATAGCAGCTTGCACAGAAAATCTCCAGGTCAACAGGTGCTCTTGAATACTTCTGGCAGTTTTCTGAAGAGTGCATTTCTGAAAAAGGGCTGCTCTGTGACATTTGTTTTAGCAGTCACAAAGACTATGTAGACTTGGCTTCTGAAAACCTCTGCGAGGGCCAAGTTGCACATGAGCAACCCCCTCAAGGCCCAGATTTAGCAGTTGGCTTCAGTGAGATAGGAGCCATGTGCTTAAGTGCTCTTCTAGGTCAGGGTCTAACAGAGGGCAAGAATTTGGCCCAGCAGTGACTGAGACAAATGCAGCAAGGGCATATTTGGAATAATTTTCAGTCCTTTTTTTCTTTACTTATCCCAGGTAGACACGTCACAAATTCTTCTCTCCTTTCATCTCTGTTTTTCTATCTCCCTGGGCATCCCAGTAACTAATGTTCTGTCTCATTATTTCTGATGCCTTTTTCCATTTGATTCAAGTCAAGGTTTAGGTCAGGGGTTTCTTTACTCAGAAGACTATGCTAACTCTATATCATGGGTAAGTATATAAAACAAACAGGATATAGGCCAGGTTATAGACCTCTAAAGAAGGGGTCTTCTCTACCTAGGTGTCATCCCTGAAATTTATCAGCTCCACGAGTACTGTTTTTAGGGGAAATTTACAGAATTCTTATCTATAAATAAATTCACTATTTCCAATTTAACAGTAAATATAGGGCCTCTTTTTGGAGCCATGTTTTGGAATAGGTATTGCTTTATATTTTTTCCAGTGTGACTTCACCTTACAAGAAATAAAGTTATTAATTTACTGCTGAATATGAATGTAAAAAAAAATCTTAGAAATCCATTTTATGTACACAGCTTAAAACTTCAGATGAAAAGACGCCTTCAGTTATACCTCTACCATGGGTGGAGTCTCAAGCATCATTTCTTCTTGAATTGATGTTGCAGCAGTGTAGAACACAGTATGAATTAGGAAAACTGTTGCAGCTCTTTGCAGGTCCAAATAATCTTCTACCTGATGGTAAGGATAATTTATTTGCTTAGGTAATCTGGTTGTTTTAAGCTAGTATGAATTTAAAATATGTAGCAAAGTTTGAAAAATGCCTAGTCCACGTGAGAGAAGTCTCCATGGAATAATTAAATGCTGGAGCTTGGATTGCATCACTGTTTATTTTTATGGAGAGAAAAAACATGATAAAATGTTACTTTGAATAGACAAACAATTTGATACTACAAAGTATGAGAATTTTTTTAACCAGAAGTGTTTCATGCAGATAGTCATGAAGGGAAATCTTAAGCAGGCTTTAACCTGTTAAGGGGAATGGTTGATTGCAGGTGTGTGTAGTGAAGGATGAATGGGAACAGTCCAGCTTTAGAATGAGAGCATATTTTGGAGCATTGTAATGTGTTCATCTGCTGAAGCGAGGCTCCTTTCCTAGTGACATGTTGGAATGCATGTACCACTGATGACTTTGTTTATAAAGAAAATTGCTTTAATAATAACTACACTCTCTTCTGAAACAGGCCCAGATGTGAAGAAATTGTGTGTCCTTAGTCAGATCTTGAAGGATTCGTCCATATCTATTAATCGCGCCATCCTAACCAACTACAACACAGAGACTTTTCAGAATGAATGCAGATCAATTTTAGAGCAGCTGCAAGAGGGAGGGATGTTCTCACTGGCTAGGAAGGTAGCAGAATTAGCAGAACTGCCTGTGGACAGCGTGGTTATTCAAGAGGTACATTATAGTTGTCGGAAGTTGTGTGATACTTAAAAGTGAAATATTCACATAGTCAAATGTCTTTTCTGCCATTAAGCTCTTAACAGGTGCTCACATACTTTAATGGTATCAAGAATGACTTTTTCAGCCCCTCTGTAGGATTTAGAAAACTGTTCCCTGAATTATTCTAGTTTGAACTACAATTAAGTTGACCCTGCCAGGCATCTTCATTTTCAGAGCCTTCTAGTGAATAAAATAATTCCACTTTCTTTTTTGTCACTGTATGTTTACTTGGTACATCTGTTCATTTTATTTATCCAGCAAAACAGATGTACTTAGTACTTTACTGGTTTGAGCTGGAGTCACTACCCTCAGACACGTTGACTATAAGGGCACGTATACACGAGCACCGAGGCTGCTCTGATGCACTGGAATTAATCTAGTCTGCTGGAGTGTGGCAGTTGCTCTAGCAGCCTCCTGCTACTTGTGTATCAGTGTCCCCATGCTCAAAAATGATGGCGGGGGCACTTGAAATTAAGCTCGTCCAGTGAGCCTTAGTTCAAGCACCCCCATCGCCATTTTTAGGCGCTGCGACACTGATTATAGATGGTGGGGTGGCACTTCAATTAGAGCAGCTCTTAGAGCCACTCTAATTAAAGCAGCACCCTGTCAGCCCTTGGACCATGTGTAAAAATGCCCTAAGTTCTGTTTTTGGTAATCAAATCAATTTATATCGGTGCATATTTTATTTAGGGAAAACTGAAAATTGATGCTGAAGTTAAGTCCTCTCAGCCTTTCATGCGTTTTGCAGGTACTTCGAGATATGCATCTTCTCAAGCAGACTGGACAGTGGCATCAAAAACAAACTAGAATTGACTTCTGGAAAAAGTGTCACAATAGTTTTACAAAAAATTCAATCTCCAACAAAGCTGCGTCTGACTTTTTTTCAGCTCAGGCAAATGTGGTGTTTGAATCGTCCGCTGATAAGATAAACAACAACATAGAGAAACATTTGCTGCTTACTTTGGCTGGCCACTGGTTAGCCCAGGATGACTCGGTGCCACTGGAGAAGCTGGAAGAAATAGAGAAGCAGATCTGGCTTTGTCGCATTGCACATCAAACCTTAACTAGAGACAGTGGATTGGAGAAGTCGAGATTGTCTTGCCAGGCTTCGATGGGTAGTGAACTTTCCTTTGAGAACTTAGCCAAAGAGTTTTCCTTCTCTAAGCTAGCTACTCTGAACACACCAAAATATTTGCAGCTTGATGGTCTTGTATTCAAAGATACACCTCCACATGCACTGGATAGGACTGAGGTGGAGTCACTTAATTTTCTGATTGGACATCTTCTGGATGAAGGAAGCGTACATGAAGCCAGCCGCATTTGCCACTATTTTCACTTCTATAACCAGGATGTTTCTCTGGTATTGCACTGCAGAGCATTGGCTACTGGTGAAGCCGACCAAAACAATTTACACCCAGACATTCAAGCTCTTCTTATAGCAGAAGAGAGCTCAGATGAATTTGAGGCTCCACAGCCCAGAAGATTACAAAGTAGTAAGTAACACCAGCATATCAGTTGCAGGCTTTTGACAAGTTCTGCTGTCAGGTTTCTAAAGTCTTCCTTTGTTATAACAAAGTTAACTTACCTGCAGTTTTAGGAGGAGGTGGAGATTGGACAAAACCACCAGTGCTGTCAAATATCTTCAGGTCTAAAGAACTTGAATTTTTCAACATCGTATACTAACAAAATTCTCCCAATGCAATTATTTGTCCTCTTGTACTCATCCATTCTGAATAGGTACAGGTTTCTCTTGATTTATGCAGGTTCTTTATATGTGAATTCGCTCTTATGTGATGAGCATATTTAAACCCATAATTAATTATATGCAAGGTAAATTCGCTCTTATGTGATCAGCATAGATGCCCGCCCCCACCCCAAGCTGGTAAGTCTGTGGGGGGGTGGGGGCAGGGGAAAGGGCCATGGCCCCTGTCACCCCAGTCCCAGCTGCAGCGGCCCTGGAAGCGGCCAGTGCCAGCTGCCTGCCCCCACACTCGGGCTCACCCCACCACCTGGGCTGCATTGTGCCGTGGGGGAGGCAGCTGGTGTCAGCTGCTCCTGGGACTGCTCCAGCATGGGCTGGGGTGAGCGCAGACAGGCAGAGCCCCGGGCAGCACAGGGCGCAGCACTCGCCCCAGCTGCAGCAGCCCCAGGAGCAGCGGTGAGTGGGGACAGGCGGAGCATGGTGCAGCCCAGCAGCTGCAGGCAGCTGGCGCTGGCTGCTCCCAGGGCTGCTGCAG